TGTAGGGAATCCCACTAATAACATCATGGGCCTCAGGTTTGGAAACCTATATGCTGTAGAAATCGTGGGTCCTTCATAAGCGTCTTCGATTTATTCTACTGACATTGGAAATAGCGCTGTGTGATACTGAGCTGATGATGAGATACCATAGAAGCAGCATCAGTTATGACTCGTGTCATTTTTAAGTAGAATGAAAACTAAAAACAGACACAATTTCAATTAGCTTTGCCTATCACGCCTGCAGAATTTGAATGTATACCCCCCCCTTCCCTTTCATCCTATCCTTTAGAATCTGTGCCCTTTTGTTAAGTCATAAATGGTTTTCCAATAAGAAAACTTCACTTTCACCTTGTAATAAACGCACCCAGGGAGTAACTTTCTGTAAACATCCAAGAATATAGATGTGCATTTATTGGCCTCTTTTTCACATTTCTACCTCTGCTGTAATTCTCATTACACAGATTTCTGTTTGGGCTCATTTGTGTGACCTAAAGTAAATTCTGTCTATTCTCATTGAAACAATTTCATTTAAACATTTCCTTTTCGCTTTTACTCCATTAAATTAAATATTGTGTGTGTGAATACACACACACACAGACACTCAAATACACATGTACATTCAAATACACACACATATGTGTGTGTATGTATATATATGTGTATATGTGTGTGTGTGTGTATATATGTATATATATGTCTGCACACATATATATACAAATATGAGGGAGGGATTCTGATATAATAAAGGCTAGTGATTTGCTGTATTTTGCAAATGCTCCTGCTACTGCAAAGAAACCAAATAATCAAAATAGGGCATTATGCAAACGTATACATATATATGCACGCATACATAGAATTCTTTTAGAAATATAGCTGAGACCCTAGATTAATTCTGCGAATTACAGGTGAATACACACCCTGAAAATATAAAAGATATTTTTCTGTATTCACTTAGTAATTATTGTCTGTGTAATGGTCATCAAAAAAATGCCTACTGTGCTTATGTAATGAATTATTTCCTAAGAGATAAAGTCCTTTGTGGCATTAAAGTCATGTTAAAATGAACCAAAATCCAGCCACATCAGACTCCTCTGGGTTTCTTACTGTTGACCTGAAGTGGACGGAAAACCATGTGGCCCAGAATCATTCTCCTAAACCCCTGCAATTCAAATGAAGGCGAACCATTTAGATCATGACTGGCTATGCTAAAACCCTGAAACTTTCTATTCTACAGCAATATTGAGACCAAATACAACGTGCGTTATATTCATTTCATTCAACATGCAGGTGGGAAATGGGATTTTGGGTTTTTAAGCATCTTTTCCGTGAGCCAAGTTTTAAAATAACTGCACAGCCACTCAACATATCCCGTGTATTTGTGTGTGTATTTTGTTCCTTCCACTACTTTGAGTGAAACTCAGCATCAATCTAGTCATTAATCTGTGTGAATTCAAACGGTCTCCTTTGTGTGTCTCTTTCGTTGTTCAGTTGTGTGTGGGGAGTGGTAACGGCTTACTGCTTTACAAGCTTCAGTTCAGAGACAGTAAATCTCAAAAACCAATGTTTCATCAGCTGAAATGCTGAGGGGATTTGGGGTCCAAGAATGTTTGTCCATGAAAGGAGCTGTTTGTTTAAAATCACTGGCGTTAGCCAGTCAGGGAAAGTTATCTGCTCATCTGGGAAACTGATTTCTGCGGATGCTTCGATGTTTGATAATGTGTGTGTTTGCTTCCCAGTTGATGCGCTGCTATCATATTGTTGTTCATACAGTCCCACGCTAGGAAACCCACACACATCCTCTGTCTGGGTTATATCGAACACGGTGTTTTGACGGTCAGAATCGGAAAGGAATATGCTGTCATAGGGAACATAAAATGACTTGCATTCATTCTGTCCCTGCAGAGGAGACTCTGACCTGCTTATCATTTCAATTTTTAAAAAGAACAACAACAAAAAAAAGCAATCCCTGGATGTTGCAGTAAATGAAGATTCCACGGCAGACGCTATGGAAACACCAGCTTCCAAAAAACCCACGTTCCTTTGCTCAAGTTCAGAGACACGTGGAGAGCTGTTTCCCTCAGGACTTTTGAAGGGCGAGCAGAATTGCCAATATCAAGGCTTTCCATGGGCTGCTCTTAGGAGAAGTCAGATTTGCCAGGGTATGGAAGATTAATGAGCCCGCCGTTGGAGAGGTTTTACAAGTCATGTTTTGCTGGGGACGGAGGGGCTCTGATTTCATAAAGCCTCGCGATTTACCATCTGTTGCAAATCCTCCCCATAAACAGTAAGCGACTAGGTCATTCCGTGAGAGCAGAGAGTAGGAGGGAGGTGGGCAGAGGAGGGATGAGTTAAAAACAGAACGGTTCTGCCAGAAAATTCCCGGAGCCTTTAGAAATGAACCACCTCTTTCCTGAATGCGGGAAGAGAGGCTTGTCTTACGGTTCTTACACGGCACCCAGGCTGCCATTTTAAGCCCATTCCGTCCATAAAGTTGGGTGAAAGAGGCTTTTCTCCCAAGCAGGGTGTGATTCATTTTATGAGAAAGCATGTAAAACGTAAGAGGGGTGAATGTGGAGGCCCCATAACATTCACGGGCATGAAGCACTAGTTAGTAATTGCTAATTAAACAAGGAGGGCCTGGAAACATCGGAACACCCCCTCTCATCATAGCTAATCTCACATCCATCCCCAGGAACCTAAGAGGGGAATGGGTTTGTGCGATGTGCCCTAAATGTACAACCTGGCAGTTGTCATCTTGCATCTACCTGTAGGGCTAGGCTATCGTGAGTCCCGATTATTGTGATTTTAGAATAACAGCAACAATAACCCTTCTGGCTGCTTTCTTTTGAACCAGACCATTTCTAATCCCCTCCTGGCTCCCATCCCCCATTTCCCACAGGTACTCAGGCAAGCTCTGGAAGGGAAGCCTCATTCTCCTCAGTAGGTGTAAGATCTCATCCTTTATGATTTTGTTTTAGGTATTGAGAAGCTGGTACTCTGAGAGCCTCTTGGATTGCTGTCAGCTTTGCTTAGGGATGTGTTTGAAGGCATTGGTTCTCATTTCTGTTATTTTAGGGCTTGGCTCAGTCTGTCTTCATATAAACACTGGGGCTGCTTTCCATGGTTATTGAATAAGCATTCGTTGAAATGGGTGAACGGCATGACCCCTGGAATAAAGAAATGGTGCAGAAAGGAAAAATACCATAATTGGGGATTTGGTGTAGGGGCAGGTAAGAATGGGAAGTGGAAAAGAAAACAAACCCAACTTTTTATGACTTTTTTTTTCCCCAGAAGGCTTATTCAAGAGAGATTTGGACATAAAGTTGGATTAAAGTTTGTGCAAGTATTTAAGCTTGGAGGATGCTTTATAAAATATTCATAGTTTTGAATCTGAGTGGGAGAGTGTCTCTTCCACAAAAATGCCTTCAAACATCAGCGGAAAACAGAGTTTCCAGGTCAAGATCTTTTTGCAATGTGAGAGGAACAGGGAATGAGATAGATCTCGAAAACTGATGACTTTGCCACAATTAAATGCCCGTATTGCCTTATTTGCAGCTTTAAAATAAAGGAAGAATTTAGAATCTGGTGCCTTGAGTGAAATCTAATTGCTTAATTTACAGAATCCTCCTATTTTTTAAAATAAAATGTACCAGCCCATGCTATTTTGGGGACAGTTGGGGAGATTTGAATATGCACTGGCTTTTGGCTGAGATTAAAGAATTATAAGTTTCTGCATGTAACTGTGATATCTTCCTTACATAGAAAAATAGAGATGCATCCTAAGCTATTTAAGTGTGGCATGACATGATGGCTGTAATTTACTTTAAAATTTAAGCATTAAAAGGAGTTAAATGAAGATATTAATGAGGCATTCAGTGGGGAAAAGCGAACCTATACTGGTTTTATATACAGTGCACACAATCTTATACACAGATGCCAACACACACACTGTTTTGCCCTGAAAAACTTCTTTTAGGAGTCTTTTTTGTTTTCCCAAAGAAAACCAACATATACACAGGAGTGATAACTTAAATCTAGTAAAGTGTATAGGTTTCTGATATTGTCGTGTATTGTAAATATTTTAGATTCATTTCTCCTTATATGTTAACCCCATACAAACCCCCAGATGAGACACTTTATTATAGTGTCAAAAGAAACAAAATCCATTGTAACTCTTATTTACATAATATACTCCTTCCTGCCATGGGAAGGGTGCTTACACTGTTGCTTCTCATTTATGGGAAGGACGAGTAAAGAATGAACAAAGTAAACCGTGGAATGTCTTTCCAAATAGCAGCGATGTTGATGTATATTTTGTAGGTGACAACCCCAAATATCCTGTGTTCTTTCGCAGGGTTTTTAAGTACCGGCGACCAGGCGGCCAAAGGCAACTACGGGCTCCTGGATCAGATCCAGGCGTTACGTTGGATTGAGGAGAACGTCGGGGCCTTCGGTGGGGATCCCAAGAGAGTGACCATCTTCGGCTCCGGCGCGGGTGCTTCTTGTGTCAGCCTCTTGACCTTGTCTCACTATTCAGAAGGTAATAAAAGCATCCCCACAGCGCGCAGGGAACCCGGGGACCCAGAAGTGAACCCATATTGAGCTCTTATCCAAGGCGCATGCAGGGTGGCTGTAGTCTCTGTTGAAACCTCCACAGAAAATCCCCCCAATGACATGCACGCACATCCTCTTCTCTTAACTCAGCTTTTGCTTTCTGATTTTTTAAATTGAGGTATGATTGACATACACCATTAGATTAGTTTCAGGTGTACAACATAACGATTCGCTATTGGTATACAGTGCAAAACAGTCACCCCAGGAAGTCCAGTTAACATCCGTCACCATTCAGTTACAAATTTTTTTCCTTCTGATGAGAATTTTAAGATCGCCTCTCCTAGCCACTTTTAAGTACACAGTACAGTATTATTAACTATACTAACGATATATTTTTCTCACTTAGACTTATGGCAAAGAGGGTTGCTTACAATAATTGGAGGCAAATGACTTCTTTAGAAATGCCTGCACCCTGCTTTTGCCTGTCTGAGTTTATCTGGACAACTTTAAATTTTATTAACTTCAATTTTCATCTTGGGAGAAGAAAGATGAAAGGGAATCAGTATGTGGATGATGGTTACAGATTTTTAGATTTCGTGATAAACAAAGCTTGTAGCCATATGGTTATAAAGTCACGTCTTTGTTGCAAACTAATTCAGGTTGATTCCTTCTGGTCCATTGGTGATGGAGGTTCCCAGCAATATCAGATGAGAGGTTTTTAAAAGAAAAATCAACAGAAATTGGGTGCAGTGGGCCTGGAGGCACCTTAATAACTTGCTGGCTCTCCCTTCAAAAATGGAACAAAAATAAAAACAAAACAAGAAAATGCAGCCCTGGGGCACTTTGGCAAGTACAAGTGCATATTCTTAATAACAGTCTAAATCATCAAGGTCGTGTTATGTTCCCTTCTGTGTCATTGGTTGGTTTAAGGATTTACCACATCTCTTTGAACCATTTTTATGAAAAGCACCTGAAACTTTAAAGGAATTATTTTTCTTTAAAGAGTCTTATATTATCTTTCTTTAAAGTACCCTAAACATGTTAAAAAAAAAAAAAAAAAGGGAAATATCATCGTGCCATATGACAGCATCCCATTTTTTCCCTCTCTTCCTACACTATCGTGGACAAGTTGCTGACTTTCTGATTGCTTCATTAGCAAGATATGATTGACGATGATTTTTAAGTCTTGTGAAGTCTGAATTTCTTGATTCTTTATTTCGTAATGGCTGAGGAGAGGTAGAAAGAAAAGCTTATGTTTGTATTAACCCTTTATTAAAAAAGGAAAAAGCAAGTGAATTAGATCATTAGTGATAATGATTCCTATAGCGTTTTAGAAAATACCTGTATTTTCCCATTTCTCAACGGATATAATCATGGTTCTCCATTTACAAAATAGTCAGGACCAACTCTAGTAGTAATCAAACACATGTCAGCCAAAACTAATGGGGGAAGAGTGTTAATTCCTTAAATCAGTAGATCAGAAATGAATATGGTAATGCTTTGCATCATTTCCGCAAAGTAGCTCTCTAAAATCAACCCAGCAATAGAATTAAGAATTAATGAACATACCCAGACTGTTGGCCTTAGGAATTTCACTTGTCGTGATATAACTTAATGAAATCAACATACACATGGGAAAAAGGTATTTTCATGGAGTTGTCTACCACAGCATTCTCATAGCAAAGAATGAAAGGAAAAGCTACAAGACCAGAAAGACAAGAACATTGTAAATGACACGTGCATTTACTCGAAGGAACAATAATTTGTTTTAAGAATTGTGCTTAAGATATGCATTAACCTGGGACACATGATATGAATTGCTCATTCAGCAAACCATCACCTTGGCCGGGTACCACATTCCCTTTTGACCCTGTCATGGACAGGGTTGCCATTCCAAGCAACTCTCAGATCCTGATGGAGCAAGGGGGAGTTCCTTAATTATGACATCAGTATACTATGCAGATATTGGACACAGTTATACACAACAGACCAAAGGGAGGGAAAGCACTAAGAAGGAATGATACTAAAAATATTAAAGTATCTCCTATTTTATAGTATGAATTATAGGTGACTTTTTCTTTAATTTTTCAAGTTTTATCCCAGGTTGTATTACTTCCCTACCAAAACATACATACACACACACACACACGCACACACACGCACACACATGCACACACACACACGGCTACCTCAATCACGGCCAACAGTTATGACAGAGAGAGAAAATGTGTAACTTCTAGCAACACTTGTCTAATTCTGGTTGTCTTCATTTATGAATGTCTTTTAATAGATCCGATATGGACATCATTTCCTTAAGGTGCTTTAAAACATTCACCTTGAGAGCCAGACACACAAGTCAGTACTTGCACATTTCCAACGGAATGGTAAACATTGGGAAATTGGCCCCAAACGAGATAGATGATGTGTCGGGCAAAGCCAGATCGTTTTAAGCAGCTCAGTCTTGTGTGTCATCGGTAGGCAATCCTCTAGTCTTTACAATCACATTTTCCTGATTGCTGTCATGTTTCCTTCATCCCTGGTTGCTTGTATGGCCTTAAATATCGACAGGGCATGGACCTCTGGACTCCCCGCTGAATGCGTTCATTCTCCCAGTGACTTACGAGGCGTCAGAGCTAGATCATGCTGGAGTTCAAGGGAACGGCAGGAAGAGATAAGGAATAGAATACCATGATCTTATGGCCTTCCGTCTCATACTGGAGCAGTTAAAAATAGACTTTTATTTACTTCTGGACATCCACATACTAGACTGATCAGATAGGAAATTTTAAGCTACACAGAATTTTACTCATAAAACAGCCCAAGATTTTTCCAGTTTCTCACCAAACAGACATGTTTAAAATGTGGCAGAATGAATTGTACAAAAGTCTGGGCTTTGAGTGGATGCAACTTTGAAATTAATGATTTTTTTTGGAAAAAAGGTACGTTTTAGCAGGGCATTCAAGGGAAGATTTCTTTAGGAATAGCTAATTTAATGAATTTATTTTAATTGCATGTTTTTAGCACCTTCAGTATATGGAGCGTGGAAATAAAAATGCATTCCAGAATTTATACTCTGAAACTGATTTCAGTGGATCTTCCCCCTCTAATAAAGTGGTAACTGGTTTTGCCAGTAAGAGAAAACAGCCTTTGACCTCTTATGGCCACAAAGCATATTTTTAGAGGCTGGAGAGTTGTGATTACTCTGAGACTCTTTATTTACGAATTCTGGGGATGGAGACACTAATATTACACAAAATTGGGGAAGGAGAAAGAGGTTGTATGTTTTTACACTGCAGCTAAAGTGTAAACGCAGTTTCGTTTTCTAAACTCTGTGTGTGTGTGTGTGTGTGTGTGTGTGTGTGTGTGTGTGTGTGTGTGTGTCTGAGAGCATCCTATAAGACCACTGTCCGGCACGTGGGGGAGGGGGAAGATGAGATAGAAATGAGAGAAAGAGATGCCGAATGCGCTGAATGCTGCAGTATCCAGAAATTCACATGCCCGAGAGACAATCAGAGCCTTCTTTGCTGAGTAAAAGCTGCTTTTCTGTCTTGCGGGTTTTCATTTGCATGTCCACAATTTTGCACCTGCAGGTCTGTTCCAGAAGGCCATCATCCAGAGCGGGACCGCCCTGTCCAGCTGGGCCGTGAACTACCAGCCTGCCAAGTACACTCGGATATTGGCAGATAAAGTCGGCTGCAACATGCTGGATACCACGGATATGGTGGAATGCCTTCGGAATAAGAACTACAAAGAGCTCATTCAGCAGACCATCACCCCGGCCACGTACCACATCTCCTTCGGGCCCGTCATTGACGGAGATGTCATCCCCGATGACCCTCAGATCCTGATGGAGCAGGGGGAATTCCTTAACTATGACATCATGCTCGGGGTCAACCAGGGGGAGGGGCTGAAGTTCGTGGACGGCGTCGTGGATAACGAGGATGGTGTGACGCCCAACGATTTTGACTTCTTGGTGTCCAACTTCGTGGACAACCTTTACGGCTACCCGGAGGGGAAGGACACCTTGCGGGAGACCATCAAGTTCATGTACACGGACTGGGCAGATAAGGAGAACCCCGAAACGCGGCGGAAAACCTTGGTGGCTCTGTTCACCGACCACCAGTGGGTGGCCCCCGCCGTGGCCACCGCAGACCTGCATGCACAGTACGGCTCACCCACCTACTTCTATGCCTTCTACCACCACTGCCAAAGCGAGATGAAGCCCAGCTGGGCGGACTCAGCCCATGGCGACGAAGTCCCCTATGTCTTCGGGATCCCCATGATTGGCCCTACCGAGCTCTTCAGCTGCAACTTCTCCAAGAATGATGTCATGCTCAGCGCGGTGGTCATGACGTACTGGACAAACTTCGCCAAAACTGGGTATGTTCTTCTCGCCATCAGGTTATTGTTTGTCTGGTTCCTCCGTGTAAGTGTGGTTTCCATGACTGGCTAGACGGCGGTGTGCAGGCATGCACACACAATAACAAAAGCAGTCATTTTCCCCCCCAACATCGAGGGTGACCTCATTCTTTCTTTACCCCTGAATGGTTTTCTATCAAGTCAGATTTTCACTAAGGTGCTAGATGCATATTGAAAATTCTCCACTTGCTACTGGGGTCAGATTTAGATATATTTGGCTATTCTATGGGAAACTGATCCTGGAGTTTCAAATCTAGGTAGGACCTTGTCTTGTTTGGTAAATAATAGGGTTATCAAAATACATGTGCCAGGGCTTCCCTGGTGGCGCAGTGCTTGAGAGTCCGCCTGCCGATGCAGGAGACGCGGGTTCGTGCCCCGTTTCGGGAAGATCCCACATGCCGCGGAGCGGCTGGGCCCGTGAGCCATGGCCACTGAGCCTGCGCGTCCGGAGCCTGTGCTCCGCAAATGGGAGAGGCCACAACAGTGAGAGGCCCGCATAACGCAAAGAAAAAAAAAACAAAAAAACAAAACAAACAAAAAAAAACAAAAAGGTATCATGTAGGACTAAGTAGAATTTGAAAAGGAATTTGAAATTTATTCTCAGAACAATGAGGAAGGGCTCCCCACTCCGCAAAAAAAAAAAAAAAAAAAAAAAAATACATGTGCCACATGGAATGCATAGCCAAGGAATGAAATAAATCTCATAATAAATATATAGAAATACTGTATGTGTATATAATGTATATATTATATATGTATATGCACATGTAATAACTCCTAATCTCATAACTGTAGAGAAATCCCGTGTGTGTGTGTATGTAAGGTATATATGTGCATAATGTATCTATATACATGCATAGGATTTCTCCATTGTTGTGAGATTTATTTTCTATATATACATATGCACACAAAATATATTCATTTTGTTTATATATAAATATTTACATGTGTTTATTTCATTAATATAAATTTCATACATGTGTGTATATTTATCTGTATATGTATCTATAGACACATATAGAAAGCTCATTGGCTGAATAAAGTAGGAAGTATACAAGCGTTACATATACAACAGAGTCCACCCATATTCCACTGAGCAGATTCTCTGCAAACAGCGAAAGAAAAGACTCCCCAGCATCTTAAGGAGCTACGAATATCAGAGCATCTTTTCATTTCCTCTTGTCGAATAACCTAATTGTGGAAATTAATGAGGTATCATTCTGTTCTGCCTGCCTGCGCTTCTGTCATTAACCTTGAGCTTCTTGTACCGACTTTACAGTGAAGATCCTCCCGGCTCTGGAGGATGGAGAATCTTCCTGTGGGTCGCCACGGGGTGGAATTAGGCCCCACACTGCAACAGCCCTGCAGTGCCTGAGCCTCATGTAGCTCTCATGAGAGGATGCGGGGATGCCAGGGAAGTGTAGGGGGTCAGCAGGTATCATTCTTTACAATGATTCCAAATACTCTGGTGGGAAGTGATTTCATGGTTTTGCAGTCTTAGGAAAAGTGTGGCACGTTTCTTGAGTGGAAAATATGTTGTACCGAGACCCGCTTTGGACTGTCCCACTTTACAAGTTTGACCTAAGAAAAACGATGGGAAACGGAGACGGTACAACCGTGCCGGGGAGAGATGCTTGTCTGTCCCCAGAAGGTTCTTTTTTCGACAAGGAGGTGATTGAGGTCAAGTCAGCAAGTATTTTTAAGTAACCCCTGTTTATTAGATTCCTAGGGCTGCTGCAACAAAGTACCAAAGATGACGTAGCTTAAAACAACAGAAGTGTATTTCACAGTTCTGGAGGCTAGAAGTCCACAATGCAGGTGTCCGCAGGGCTGAGTTCTCTCTGGTGCCCAAAGGGGAATGTTTCCATGCTGCTTCTTAGCTTCTGGTGCTTTGCTGGCAATGTTTGGTGTTGCCTGATTTGTAGCTGCATCTCTCCAAGCTCTGTGTCTCTCATACCGTGGCAGTCTCCCAGCACGTCTGTCTTTATACGGCCATCTTCTTTTTTATCTTTACTGAAGCATAGTTGATTTGCAGTGTTGTGTTAATTTCTGCTCTACAGCAAAGTGATTCAGTTATAGACACATATACATTCTTTTTCATATTCTTTTCCATAATGGTTTATCACAGGATATTGAGTATAGTTCCCTGTGCTGTACACTAGGTCCTTATTGTTTATCCATCCTATGTATAGTAGTTTGCATCTGCTAATCCCAAACTCCCACTCCATCCCTCCCCCACTCCCCTCCCCCTTGGCAACCACAAGTCTGTTCTCTCTGTCTGTGACTCTGTTTCTGTTTCGTAGGTAAGTTCATTTGTGTCATATTTTAGATTCCACGCATAAGTGATATCATATGGTATTTGTCTTTCTCTTTCTGACTTATTTTACCTAGTATGATAATCTCTAGTTGCATCCATGTTGCTGCAAATGGCATTATTTTGTTCTTTTTTATTTTGACCATCTTCTTATAAGGGCACCAATCATATTGGTTTAAGAGTCCATCCTGCTCCGGTATGACCTCATCTTTTTTTTTAAATTTTTATCTTTTGGTCGGGCCGCATGGCTTGCGGGATCTTAGTTCCCCAACCGGGGATCGAACCAGTGCCCCCTGCAGTGGAAGCGCAGAGCCCTAACCACTGGACCACCAGGGAATTCCCACTGTAACCTCATCTTAACTTGACTGACTACATCTGCAATGACCCTGTTTCCAATAAGATCACACTGTGAGGTCCTGGGTGTTAGGACTTCAGTGTATCTTAATTTGAGGGGGAAACAGTTCAGTGCATAACCCCTTTTAAAGGGAGGACCAATGCCCAATTGTGTCATAGAACTCAGATAGGTAATGCCTGTTCTTGCAAACTGTTGCCTTCTTTTGAAGCAAAAATACTCACAGGAGCGTTTCCCACACCATGGCCATGCCTATCGACTACATCACCATCCAAACCTATCATTAATTCCATAACATCTAAACACAAATCATGACTTACTTTTGTTAAAGCCACCTACTTTCTTTTTCTCTCACGTGTTTTGGGAATAAACTTTATATGATTTTCTTAAATGGAAAACTAGGATCATTCATCATCAATTTAACTGAACCATTAAAGAAAACTACGAAATCCAAATAAAGCCATTAAATTCTCATTAGCTGTGCTTGCCTGCCAAAGGCCCTGAGATGGATTTTCTCTGGTTGTTTAAAAGAAAAAAAAAAAAAGAAAAAGGAAATTAATGTCATGAGATGGTAGAGAAATGCTAGCACCAAACCTATAGGTCACCAGGACCTGTCAACGACTAAGTGAGGATTGAAAATGTTGAGTGTTCTTTAAAATGTTTTTTAAGGGGCTTCCCTGGTGGCGCAGTGATTGAGAGTCCGCCTGCCGATGCAGGGAACACGGGTTCGTGCCCCGGTCCGGGAAGATCCCACGTGCCGCGGAGGGCTGGACCCGTGAGCCATGGCCGCTGAGCCTGCACGTCCGGAGCCTGTGCTCCGCAACGGGAGAGGCCACAGCAGTGAGAGGCCCGCGTACCACAAAAAAAGAAACAAATGTTTTTTAAGATGTTGAGTGCTTTTTAATTTCATAACTCTATATTCGTAAAATCACTTTGCTCACTGCCTGTGGTTCACGCCCCTCGTTTGGGGAACACAGTGGTGGAGTTTTAAGACAGCTTGGGCTTAATCCCTGGCCCAGTATACTCCTGTGGCCACTAGTGGTGCGTGTTTAGGATACTTTTGGATTTCATAAAGATGCTAAAGTAGCGGATGGGGAAGGAATAAGGACTTAGCTTGGAGGAATAGCCGTCATCTGACCAGAGTCCAGGTAGAGATCTCACTGTGGTAACAGGATATCGCTAATGGATGTCCTCGGATGTCAGTCTGAAAAATCTGGATTTTATCCAAGCAGGAGCTATTTTTATTTCTGTGGTCCATGTGGAGCATAGCTGAAATTGTACTTGGGGATATTAATGCAATGAGTTTTCACAACACATTGGAAAGGTGGTTGGAATGACTCAAATCATCTTTCTTTTTTGTTTTTTTTAATTAATTTTATTTATTTTTGGCCACATTAGGTCTTGGTTGCTCCACACGGGCTTTCTCTAGTTGCGGTGAGCAGAGGCTACTCTTCGTTGCAGTGCACGGGCTTCTCATTGCGGTGGCTTCTCTTGTTGCAGAGCACGGGCTCTAGGCTCATGGGCTCCGGTAATTGTGGCACGTGGGCTCAGTAGTTGTGGCGCACGGGTTTAGTTGCTCCGCGGCATGTGGGATCTTCCCGGACCAGGGCTCGAACCCATGTCCCCTGCATTGGCAGGCGGATTCTTAACCACTGCGCCACCCGGGAAGCCCTCAAATCATCTTTTAAGAAAGTTACTCAGAACCTCCTCTAACCTGCAACGCAGTGTGCAATTTCAAACGTAAGTCAGGAGGATCACATTTCAGTAGCTTATGGTTTAACAAAAAATGGGGGATTGAGCAAAGTCAGTGATTTAGGCGTTTGCCAATGGATGATATGGCTTATGAGGTGGTTGCTCGTTTTTCACTGATTGATTTTAAATAGGGTAGTGGCATGATCAGCCCTGTGTGGTGGAGGATTTCTTTGTCCCTAGGGGGCTGCTAAAGCCGTCCAGCTGAGGAGAATGAGGCAGTATGGTGCCAGTAATGGAACAGCATGGGATTAAACCATCTCTCATGTCATTAAGGGTCTCAGACCTTATTTGATGCCAGCAAGGGAAGAGCAGCATAGGGTAAACCATCCCTGATGCCACAGTGTGAGGTGAGATGCTTAACTCTGTTCTCCAGAACCCATACTCAGGCAGTCACCCACAGAATATGATGGAATACACTTGAGTACCATCCACTGCTCCCTGTAAGCACTACAGAGACAGGAGTTTGGTTATAAGAATATCCTATCGTACGTCTAATCACAACACATGTCTGGGAAGAAAGGATTACGCTGTGTCAGAACATGCTTTGCCGTGGTCGCTGGGTGGAACTTCACATCTGCTGCCCCTCGTAAACAGCACCCCGATGATCCTGACTATTCATACGTTTGCTGAGATGAAGTGAACACTGGGGCTTCTTTTTATATGACCAAAGCTAACAGTTCTGACCTTACATGTAGGCTTAAGTGTAGATATATCTGGTATGCCAATTTTTTGTTGTTGTTGTTACGCAGAGAAAACAAAATGTGGGGATGGTGTGTGTGGTAGGCATGGAAGGAAGGAAGGAAGGATGGAAGGATGGAAGGAAGGAGAGAGGGAGGGAAAGAGAGAGGGAAAGGAAAAAAGAGGAGGGAGGGAAAGGGAGCAGAGGAGGCTGCTTTCATTGCTAGGAGACTGTTTCAATAATCCAGGTGAGAAGACTAACCCAAAACAGCGCTGGGAAAGGACAATGAAGCCAGGACATTAAGTATTAGGCTAGAAATAAGGCTACTTGGAGAGTTTTGATAAATGAGAAGTTGTGTCTGGGAAAAATTAAAACTAATCCCAAGGTTTATGAATGATTACACAGATTTAAACTCTTTGTCACATCCAGCCTCTTTGGGAATAGGTAGGAAGGGGTTGGTCCTGGCCACTCAGTAGAAATCAGGTGCTCATTGATCAAGGACCAATGCAATTTGGGTTCTGTGTGGGGAGAGGTGGATAAAATGGGTAGAATCAGGGTCTCTACAGAAGATGTGGCTGTGAACAGTACCTTCACCATTCTGTATGGAAGGCCTCGGAGGCTCTTGGAATTCAGAGATGGGAAGGCTGTTGGCCAATAAGCCAATATATATTATGTAAGAAGAACAACGTATATTCCAATATGTCGAAATACAGTGGTATAGGTCGAGTGGGTGGGATGACGTATTTTTCATTGGTTTTCAGATGCCATCTCTACTTTTGATTTTGCTCATATCCTGTGATTGATTTATATTTCAACTGTTGCTCAATCTTTGCAAAAATCAGGAAACAGACAGGAAAGATGGGTTAGATAGAGTTGCAGTCAAAGCCTGGTTTTAAAAGGGACCTTTATTGCCCCAAAGTATTTTAAGCTCAGTGAAGGAACATCTCTACCGGTTGTATAGGACGGACTGAACACATACTCCTTGGTGCAGGGGGTAGTTTTCTTCTTAGAGGTCTAGGGACAAATAGTCAACCACGACATTGGTTTAGGGGTAAGGAGAACCTTATACCATCCAAAGGAGCATATCAGAGGGTTCACTGGTATTTTTAAAGGGAGCATGTTACCCATCTCTCACAAATAAAATGAACCACAAGACCTTGGAGACGCATTTAACCCTCCACTTCTAAGATGATATCACAAATGAAATATGACAGGTGAAAATGTATGTTTAGGTGACGAGGAGTATGGATAGGTATTGAGGTTTTTACTAGAGAAAGAGGGTGTGTCTGTTTCATTCTCTCCTTAATCATTATCATCTTTAACTTTACTCATGGGAATTAGAACACGCCATGTGCTGAAGCAAAGTCTAAACAACAAGGCAGTGGTATCCCACATAGAGATCTTACTGTCGTTGGGGCGTTTGACAAGGGAAAATGATGAGCCTTCATAAGCACCGTGAGTTTATCTTGGTTTAAGGCTTCTGAGTGTGCATCTCCAAGAGCTTTGATAGATTGTATCGGGCTAAAGCATACTTACCGGATTTTCAAAATCCTCTATTCTCTGAGAACAAAATAAATGTGTTTCCTTACCTTTCAAATGTACACCGAATTCCATAAAAAAATCGACAAATATCCTACATGAAAAGACACTCTCTTTCCTAGATGCCCTCTCTTCAGTAAAAGGTCAGTACAACTAAGACCCAATTCTGTGAAATCAGATCAATGCAAACATAGTAGGAATCCTCGCTCCCTTTCGTTGCTTTTAGAACAGTAAAAATCGATGACAAATTTCTCCATGAGAGATTCCAATTAAATAGGAATTTTCCAACAGTGTATTTCAGAAGACTCAAATAAAAAAACATGAGGTGCTATATTAAATCCAGCATTTTTCAAAAACATATAAGAATATAAAAATGAATTAAAAGCAGATTATTTTAAAGTACATAAATGCTTATAAATGAACACATAAATAAGAAAGCTCATAGTATTAAGACCTATAATTTTTTATATTTTATCATCTCACTAATACGAGCACAGCAGTTAGTGTGTACTCAGTTATGTGGTAAAATTTCTTTGTCCTGCATACCACATATATAATCATATCTATGATCATATATATACCTCTGCATCTATATATATATATGTCTGTGTGTGTATATAGTATGCAGTATGTACTGTTGTATACAGTATACTTTTATACAGTATATACTGTACCCAGTGTATAATATAACGTATGCACTGGTATACAGTGTACTTTGATACAGCATATACTATATACAGTATATAGTGTACCATATATGCTATGATATACATAGTATACTTTTATACAATGTATACTATATACAGTATACAGTGTACCATGTATACTGTGGTATACAGTATATTGTTATGTGGTATATACTATACACAGTGTATAGTATACTTTGATATAGCATATACTATATAGAATATATACTGTACCATGTATGCTATGATGTACACAGTATACTTTTAAACAGTATATACTATATATAATTAACAGTGTACCATATATACAGTATATTGTTATGCAGCATACACTATATCTAGTATATTAGTGTACCATGTATACTGGTATACAGTATACCTTTATGTAGCATATACTATGTAGAATGTATAGTGTTACATATATTCTGTGGCTATATACAGTATGTTATTTATAGTCCACTCTCACTAGCAATTTGTAGGTATTCTAATTTATACATTGCAGAGAGGGATACTATTTATTGAGCTCTTACTGCATGCCAGGAATTTTGTAGTTATTATTTAACCTTTCTCACTTCCTTTCCATTCCAGTATTCTTATCCACTTTATAGATGAGGAAGATGAGGCTAAGAGAGGCTTAAGGGTTTGCTCAAGATTTCACAGCTTGTAAAGAGGGAGAGATGCAGAACTTAATGTATGGAAATGATTTTGACAGCCTCAGACTGAGGACTAAAGTCCTTCCTTTGGCAGATGCATCTGTTGGTCAAGTGCATCGTTTGCATCCTGCACACTACTTGAGAATGTCTGTAGTCTTTAGGTCTTCCAGTGGGACCTTCGGGTTCCCCAGCCTTCTGATACATGAGCAAACAGGCAGTGGCTGAAGGCAGCTTCATAAAAGTGTTACCTGGAAAATAGAAGTTAGAGCACCTGGAGCAATAGATCTGAGCAAACTGGGTCTGCACATCATGTCTGAATATTCAGTGTCAACTAGGTGGCATTATATCATGCATGATCTCAAATTTTCCAAACCACTACACATTAAGATGAAACCTGTTTTACAGCTCACTTTACCAAGCCTAAAAAAAATGGAAGCAATGAGAATATGATATCTTCGCAGGGCTGGGGGAGGTTGTTTGTTATCTTAAAAGAGTTAGTTGCAAAGATGTTTCAAGTACCATGTTTTGTGGAGAATCTCAATTTTGATGATTATTCTTCTGCCCGTGTCCCCTTATGTAAATCATAGGAGACTTCTTAGGTTCATAGTTGCCATGCACACTTGAAATCTATAAAAACCCTCAATTTCTTGCATCGTGTGGTACTTTTCCTAAAATCCTTAACTCTGCATATCTAAAAGCACCGTCTTACCAAACTTCTTAAATCAACGGAATGTTGTTTGATCTTTACGTGACTCAGTCTTCAGAAGGTTTCCAAGTACATACATATTTCTCTTTCTGAGAGAGAACGAACAATTGATTCATAGTTCTATTTATTAACATCTTGTAATTACAAAAGCTAGTTTTTATTTGATTTTTAACATACATTTTAGTTGTAACCACAGTATCTATTCATTTACCTAAGAAGCAATTCTTGAGGAAGAAAGAGAATGGCACAAATTTTGGACCATAGCCTCTAAATCAGGATTTCTCAGCCTCAATACTGACACCTGGGACCAGGTACTTCTCTGCTGTGGAGGGGCTGTCCTGTGCCCTGGAGCATATTTAACAGTCACCCTGGCATCTACCCATTCATGGCACCACCCTTCACTTATAACAACCAAAAAAGATCTCCAGATGTTACCAGATGCCCTCTTGGGGGCAAATCACCCTGGTTGAGATTTCTGACTCAAAAGTAGTTAAACTTGAAATGCAAGACACATTTTTGGTTTCCTTCTTTATCATGGAAGATAATTGGATGCATTTAAAAAATGTAGAAGTGTTATGAAAATGCTATCATACTGCCATCAGGAATTATTTTTAAAATAAAGGTAAGGGGATTTTAAGGAAAAGGCAAAATGGTAGCGCGTCGGGATTAAAACACCATGTATTTGTTGCGACTTGAGTACTTTGTGCATATCAGTAAACACATGAGATTATCTGATTGTAATTTCATTGTATTTGATTAAAATTTACTTGGGAAATGTGGAAGAGTGTGACCTTTCTCTTTTTTTCTCCCTTCTGTCCCCAGTGATCCTAATCAGCCAGTTCCTCAGGACACCAAGTTCATTCACACAAAACCCAATCGCTTTGAGGAAGTGGCCTGGTCCAAGTATAACCCCAAAGACCAGCTCTATCTGCATATTGGCTTGAAACCCAGAGTGAGGGACCATTACCGAGCCACAAAAGTGGCTTTCTGGTTGGAACTCGTGCCTCACTTGCACAACTTGAATGAGATATTCCAGTATGTGTCCACAACCACAAAGGTTCCTCCTCCGGACATGACCTCCTTTCCCTCCGGAACTCGGCGATCTCCTGCCAAGATATGGCCCACGACCAAACGCCCGGCGATCACTCCCGCCAACAACCCCAAACACTCCAAGGACCCTCATAAAACGGGGCCCGAGGACACCACCGTCCTCATCGAAACCAAACGGGATTATTCCACTGAGTTGAGCGTCACCATTGCCGTGGGGGCATCCTTACTCTTCCTTAACATCTTGGCATTCGCAGCACTGTACTATAAGAAGGACAAGAGGCGCCATGAGACACACAGGCGCCCCAGTCCCCAGAGAAATACCACGAATGACATCGCTCACATCCAGAACGAAGAGATCATGTCCCTGCAGATGAAACAGCTAGAGCATGATCACGAGTGTGAGTCCCTGCAGGCTCACGACACGCTGAGGCTCACCTGCCCTCCAGACTACACCCTCACGCTGCGCAGGTCCCCCGATGACATCCCACTTATGACACCAAATACCATCACTATGATTCCCAACACACTGACGGGGATGCAGCCTTTGCACACGTTCAATACCTTCAGTGGAGGACAAAACAGTACAAATTTACCCCACGGGCATTCAACCACTAGAGTATAGCTTTGCTGTCTTCTTCCCCTCCCTCTGCGCCTCCACTCAGCCACATCGAAGAGAGAAAGAAAGAAGCAACATCTCCAAACAAGGAATGTTTGGCTTAAGACAAAACAAAACAAAACAAGAAAAAGCAAAAGGGCAGCCACTGTGTCCTTGCAGACCCTTTCCATTGGCATTTCCCAGTACAATGAGATCAACGTCTGACCCTACGAAATGTGAAACGTATACATTGCTGTTACAATACTGCTTTAAGATCTCCACCATCCGGCAAACTTTAGTGCAACTAGGACATCGAAGTCTCAAGGACCTGGATGTTTCCAATGTGACCATAGAAGCTGACACTTCTGGAACTCAGCCGAGGACACTTTTTTTTTTTTAATTACAATTGAAATAAATAAATAAAAGTTCTTTTTTGTGCCATACGACAGATGGCTCTACTTAAGTGAAGAAAGAATCTATGGGCTTTTACCCAGCATATGGAGGTGTAATCCAGAGAGAAGGAAAAGTAGAATTTTATTATTAAAATAAAAGAACTGACTATGCAGTTACATATGTAGAGTTCTGTGCAAAGAGATGTTTTGCCAGCCTGAACTCTATTTAAGAAACTTTGTAAAAATAAAAATAAAAAAAATGTATATAGCTGTGCGTTTAAACAAACACACACAGAGAGAAAAACAAAAACAAAAACAACAGCAACAAAAAAACTTTTATTGGTGTTTTCAGTTTGAAAGAGCTTTTAGCAAGATTGTGCTTTCCATTGTGGTCTGTATGTATATAAATCGATATATACATTAGTCATATCACCTCTGTCTCCTCCAGGGCAAAGGAGGATTTTCTTCTTAATTCCTTGTGGCCAACAGACATGGGGTTTTCTAACGTGTTTCATTTGTAGGAGGATGTGATTGTCACACAGTGGACCTAGACCGTCTGTTCGACTAGGCTCTCTCTCCCCTTTTTGGGCTGGAAAGTGCATGCGACAGCATTCTTAGGAGACCGTTATTTTTAGGAAAACTTTTATTTTTGTGTGTTAAGGCTTCATGAAGTTGCAACCCCAGGATGGATCCCCAGCGTGGAGCCTATTTAAAGCTTGTTGAATTAGAAACACGCACGCACATGCAGAGTGACTGCGGGGGGAAAACAGAATACAAGTCTCGTTCTGTAGTTCTGGTTCTTTGAATCTGTTGAGGAAGAGTTGCTTCCCATCCCAGGGTCCTGCCAAAAAGGAAAAGAAAGCTTGTCTTTGGTAGGGCCAAACTCTGCTGAGTCAATACAGCTCTGTATTCCCCAGCAGCTGCAGAAGGGTTTGGCTGATGAAATACCTGCTCAGCTTAGCTAATCAGATTGAAAGAGGGCATGTGTCTTTCCTTTCTGTTTAAGCAGTAAGTCCCTTATTTATCAGTAAGCAGGGATTTTTATTTTTTATATCATTTATGGGATAAAACATATGCTTGTCTGAAGCTATTACCATTTGTGGATTTGTGTATCAGTCACTGATCCATGAGTATTACAGAGAGAAAACAAACAAAAGGATAGAACATTAAAAGTGCTTTGCACGGGTTTTCCGGGAAGTTAGGATGGCTTCACTGTCAAGATAACACACAGAAATATTCAGTCATTTTAAATTGGTGAGGCAGGGATGAGAAGTTTGTCCCTCTGGCACTTTGTCATTTTCTCATCGTCCTTTTAATTTTCCTTAAGGAATCTTTTGCAAGTGTCCTAAAGTGGAAGGAAAAAACATAGTAACCATGGTGACTTTATGTTTTGTCTTTCAAGAGTTATTGCAACACCGGGAAATCGTAGCCAAAGATACTTGAAGGTAATGTCTCTGGGCATATGGTTCTCATGGAAACCCAGCATTAAATGTCTTTGCCAAGGTGGACCTTCTCCACAAAGATAGTCCAAATTCCTTGTCTCTTTGTATAATCTTTGATTATTGAACCCCTAAACTAAAACTGTAGCAATGTCTATCAAAGTGTTTGAAAATGGCCCCCCTAGAAAAAGAGAGTTCTTTTAAAAATGCATACAGATCATCCAATAAATTCTGTTGTTCATCTTGGTTTAAATTTAAGAGTGATTCTCTGTGTATACATATGTGAAATATAATCCCAACTTTGCATAGAGTGAAGCATCACTCCTGCAGCTAGAGGTGTCATGGGTACGACTTTTGTTCATCATTTTTGAAAGCTATTGTCAGGCCATTTCTGCAAGCTGTGTATTACGCCAGCTAAGCTACGACGAATAGGCTCTCCAGGAAACTACAGAGGACGTGATGCTTGGCACCAACGTGGGTCCGGTATGTCTGTAATGTGAATTCCAGTATTTGTTTAGTATTTCCAATTGTCTTCTGCTAGCAATATGCACAGTAATGTATCAGGCTTGTGACATTTGGATAAGGAAACAAAAAAAGAGTTCTTGTTAAGTGAATAACTTTAGCTTTTACAAAGGATTATGATCAAAAGCAATTTAATACACCTTAAATGATATTTCTACATGGAAAGAAGTTATAGAATCTTCATAGAGTTCTATGAGAATAAAATATACTTGCTATCTATAAAAAAGAGGAAAAAAAAGAAAAAAAAAACATAAGTTAGAAAAAAACTTTCCTAGGCTTTTATTCTTGACCTTCACTGGCACGCAGGGTTTAATGGTTTCTTGGATTATTATTTTGCGATTTTGTTTTTGATTTTGCCTTAAGTAATGATAGAAGATATATATGGCTGGACACATATGTATAAACTTTTCAGCAGCATTTTTAATAATAAAATATCACAGTATTTTCTAATGCTTTGTGCAAATAATTACGCGTCCATTCTTTTTTTGTAGGTGGCCTGTCATATTTATTTATTTTTCCTTCTTTAGATGTCTTTTTCACTTTAAAAACTAAGCGATAACATCTGACATAGGTGATAAACGGTGCACTCAGTTGGTAATAGATCAGTTTCTTGTGGTTTGTCCTCATGAACAGGTTTTGCGTCCCCGCTAGGGATTTTCTTCTGGCCTGACATTGGAGAAAGGCACTGTGGACGGTAAAACTCATAACAAGAGGATGTTTCCTGAAATGGAACACTTGGGTTTATTAACTTCAGCCACTGCTGCTTCTTACGTTGCTGGGTTTTGAGTTGCGTTTGTTGTCATGCCTTAAATCTTTCTAATAGAGAGCCTTATTTGAGAAAATCTCCGACAGAAAGAAATTTATTTGAATACAACTGGAGAGGCAGAAAATTACTACCATACTGATGCGACCTAACTCGTCCAGTCCTCACAGGCACCTGGTCATTCCTTATCTTAGCAGTCACGATAGCCCTAAGGGGCAGGCACCTGTATTACTTCTATCTTAAAACTGAAGATGTTGAGAATCAGAAACATTAAGCGACAAGGCAGCAGCAGAACTCAGATTCAAAGGCAGATCGTGTGTTCAGAGCCCAAACTCCTCACCAATGAAGGGCGCAGCAAAAATTTCTAACTCAAGTTCATGGATGTCATGATAATATTAGCTAATTATCAGATAAAGGAAAACAGCAAAGACTGTGACTGTGTGTTCGAACTCTGAATTTTTTTTTACATGTTGGGCTCAGGTCGTTTGCTGAATGTGACGTACACAGGATATATATATATACACACACATATACACATATATATACATACACATTTATATATTACATACAAATATTTTAATATATTGTGTATTTATAACTGAATTTTAATAAATATTCAAATATATAAAGTAATTTTTATATTTATATAGATACATATAAGCTATACTATATGAAACATTTATATACATTTGTATATAAAATAATACATAATATACCATATATGTGATATAATGTGTAATATATATTTTATATATTTAAAACATACATTTTATATTACACATATATTGCAGATATGTATATATATCATATCATGTTATATATACGTATTACAGTTCTAGTGCATACGAGTTGTATTATCTCATACAAAATATGTGTTTACATATAAGTAAATATTTAAGTAACTTTTATAAATATGTACATAGTATCTCATGAATACATAAACATATGTCATATCAATTTAATGGAAAAGCCATTTTCGTGGATTTAAAATTAGATCTCTAGCCAGTTTTTGAAATAGGGGAGTCATTCCTTTTTTCACCATTTGATGCATTCTGAATGGCCATTCTGAATAACTCAACGAATGGTAAAAATGTATGCATTCATTCATTCATCTATTTATTCTTTCTGCAGATGTTTACCAGGCTTCTCCATCACCCCAGCTCTGTGCCGGGGCTTCTGTTAAAAATGAAGGAAGACATTCATTCATTCATCTGTTTATTCTTTCTGCAAATGTTAACCAGGCTTCTCCATCACCCCAGCTCTGTGTCGGGGCTTCTGTTAAAAATGAAGGAGGAAGCTGTCTCCATCCTGGGACTCCAAGCGGAGAGCAGGGAAGTGTAGCCGGGAAGCAGCAGTAGGTGCTTGAGATGGTACCCGGGGTGCCAGTGGGAGTCTAGACACTGCCCCTTAACCTCGTCTGCAAGGGGCAGGCAGTGCTCCTACCCCAAACAGCATCCCTCCAAGTATGTGGGCATCCATGCAGACAAACCAGTGATGCTGGATGTTTCGGGAGGGCAGAACTCCACACCCTCAAAGTGAGAAGACTCGGGAAGTTTGGGGAACCATGGCTTTTTTTTTTGTCCTGGCTGGAAAATAGAAGGTATCACCGGGAAAGGTGTGGGGAAGGAGGGGAGTAGCATGCAGCTGATAACATGCCTCAAATCACAAGGCATGCTGTGTGCACCTTGTCCTGAATTCAAGCAGCAGACGGTAAAAGATGGCACAGAAGTGTGAGCATATTTGCGATTTTTTTTTTTTTTTGCGGTACGCGGGCCTCTCACTGTGGTGGCCTCTCCCGTTGCGGAGCACAGGCTCCGGACGCGCAGGCTCAGCGGCCACGGCTCACGGGCCCAGCCGCTCCGCGGCACGTGGGATCCTCCCGGACCGGGGCACGAACCCGCGTCCCCTGCATCGGCAGGCGGGCTCAACCACTGCGCCATCAGGGAAGCCCATATTTGCGATTTTTATCAGTGATTCTCAAACGTTGTTCCAAGGATGTGCTGACAGGCTACAGGGCGGGTTCTGATCCAGCAGGGATTGCGTGGGCTGGAGTCTCTGCATCTCCAACAAGCCTGCAAAATGATGCCAGTGTTTCTGGTTCCCAATTATCCCCAACTCTTCTGGGGAGCAAGATTCGAGAGTGTTCTCTCCAGAAGCAGTTGTGGTGGTGTGAATGTGGTGGGATGGCGCTGGGTGCAGTGAAAGCAGCTGAGTAAGCAGATAGAGCAGCCTGTTTGATAAATTAATTACTATCATCCTGTCAGGGGAGGTGGGGACACAGTAGGAATGATAAACTCAAAAAACAGATAGATAGATTGAATAGATGATTGATGGACAGATATAAAGGATGAACAGTTGGATGAATGGATGGATATAGATACGTAGATTGTAGATAGATAAACATATGAATGCTAGATGGATAATGATTTATTAATATAGAGACATATGGATGGATGGATACATAGACACACAGTTGGTAGAGATGATAGATGTGAGTAGGTAGGTAGGTAGATATA